ATATATATATATATATATATATACCTATATATATGCAGATTTATACATGTATAGATGCAGGTATGTATAATATATATGTAGGTATACATACATACAAATGTCCATATGTTAACTACGACATGACAAGTTGCATACACCTGAGCGCAGGATAATTGTACGTATGTCTGACCTTCTGCTCATATGCACTGTATCAACGTAACACCCACACGGAAGTGGTATGCACCGAGAGCCTAGTTGTCGCAATGCCCAACAAACATTCCCCAATCATGCACACACCCCTGTTATCTTATGTTTTAATCACAGCCCGTCCAAGTCCTGACTTTATGTCGATATTCATATCAGAGTCTTAAACGCCCACAACCCCCTCCTGATCGTTACACCACAGGCATTGTCAGTGCCAATGACGGGATCGAATCCCTCTACGCCGTCTTTGACTGGTCCAATACTACGGTGTCCCGGGACGCTTTAATAGGACTCATTTTGTCCGCTTTCGTCTTCTGCTTTATTGAGCTGCACCTCATTGTGTTTGCAGCGGGCACGGCTATCCTCTTCTGTACATCGGATGTTGGTCAGAAGGTATGTGTTTGTATGCTTATGCTTCTGCATATATATCTATATCTATATCTATATCTATCTATCTATCTATATCTATATATATATATATATCTATATATATTTATATTTATATATGTATATATATCTATATAGATATATATCTATATAAATAAATATATATATCTATATCTATCTATATATATATATATATATCATCCCCTCTCCTACCATTAACAGACCATGCGTATCCGTTTTATCTCGCCTGCTGCCAACTATCCTTCTCTCTCCCTACCATCACTCATCCCACCCACTCTCTCTCTCTCTCTCTCATACTCTCCACAGATCATCAAATTCGTCTCGGGAGTGGCCAAGTACCTCACCACTCGTCGGTACAAAAAGATGGAGAGCTCCGGCAGCGTGCACGCAGACGCAGACATTCAGAACAACATCTACCGGGCTATGCGCAGACGTACCAAGCGACTCACCGTCAACCGAGAGACCACCAAAAGCGCCAACGTGTACCTTGCTACCAATACCAGGACACCCACGCAGAACGCCATAGTCAGTCCCAAGTCCGCGGTCGTCAAGCCGCCCAAAGCCGCGTCGGTGATGTGAGGTGGAAGCGTATTTGGCGACGGGTATCAGGACACTCACACAGTAGAAGCAGTTGTCAGCTGCAGTTTTTCCTCCGAAAAGCCGTGTCTGTGGCATGAGATGGATGTTTATTTGGCGTGGAATGCTTATTTGGCGCGGGATACCAGGACATTCACATATCAGGCGGTTGTCAGCTGCAAGGCTGCTGTTGTTCACATACCAGGCATGTCGCACAGGACCCCATTATGTGCTTGGAAGTGGCGATTATATCCAGTCGGTTAGGTGGGGATGAAGAGGTTGATGGGAAATGAAGTGGTTGATGGGAAATGAAGAGGTTGATGGGAAATGAAGAGGTTGATGGGAATGAGAAGGTAAAGGTGAAATATAGGAATTTAAAAACTTAGCAAAATTTAGAGAACGTATGCGTACTGCATTCCAGGACAAGATGTCCTGAGGTACTGCGCATGGGGGTGCAGCCCGACCGAGGAAGGACTGTTGAGATTGGGACCGGTGGTATAAATTAGGTCGGGCTGTATGGGACAGTGGGTGTATGTGGGTTTAGGATTTAGAAAAAACCCAACCCTTGGCAAATGCCCCGCAGTACCGACTGGGTTGTACGTACCACCGTGGTCGAATGTGAGGGATGTGTTATACCAGAACAACAAGTGTGGCTACAGGAGCACGCTATTGTATTGGAAGGTGAGAAGGGGCGGAGAGACTAGACTGTGCACACACAAAGGAAAGGGTACAAAGAATAACAAGGAAATTAAATTGATATCTACACGCTCTCATTCTGTGGCAATTTAGTAGCTATGTCTGTCTTCTTCACAGCAAATGTGGTTACAGGAACACCCTTCAGCAATAATTAGAAGGGCGGAGAGACTATAGTTTGTGCACACACAAGGGAAAGGGTTCAAAGAATATCAAGGAAATAAAATTGATATCTACATGCGCTCATTCTGTGGCAAACGGATTGTTGCCTCATCACTCGGTCACACAGGTTTGGGCAATCGGATTCCTATTCCGAATCAAAACACGTACGTACTAAGTAGCACACCATCGACAAATGGGCCACACTGCCACGTACCTACACTTATACGCACGACAATCGGGTCACATTTGCAGGACATATTCTTACGCCATAGACAAATGGGTCACAATACCACGTACCTAAACCTATACGCATGACAATCGGGTCACCTTTGCAGGACATATTCTTACGCCTTAGACATTTTTGGTATGTTCGATTGGATTAGCTAAGTAGTCTGTACCGCACTTTCGGTTGGTTCCGTTGTGTGTACCACGAGACGTCCTGAACTAATTCTGACACAAACACATCTCCAAGCACAACCACCAACGACCATGCCGGGCTAAGCTTTATTCTAATTGGTCCGCAGATATTTCTATAAATAGCCTCACACCACCGCCGCACCCTCCTTCTTGTACACATCATACTCTCGCAGGATCACGGGAATAGAGCTGCAGGGGATCATGCCAATCTCCGTGATAATCATGTCGATGAACTCCGGGGGAGTGACGTCGTATACTATATTGATCATGCCGATGTTGGTAGGTAAATCATCCTTGTCTAGCGGAGAGGGTGCGGCATCGTCGGTTCGGTTGGGTGGGGGGATCAGATCTGTGGGGATGTCTGATAGGGCAGTGTGGTGTGGTCGTATTTGTATGAGATTCACGAGTTAGGAGGACGATCCGAGCTGAACCCTGGATCTTTAACCCTAAACCCCGAAACGTGTAGGTATCTCTGAGAAGAGTAATGTGATATAGTATCTGAATAAGCTTCGCAGGTTACATGGGGGTTTAGATCTGCAGGTTTATGTGATACAGTCATATTGTCGTATTAGAAGACGTACTGCAAGTGGCCCGACCAAGCACGAGCATAGGACTGGTAGGTATGGCGTATGTTCCGAACTTTGTCGTATGAAAATAGAGCAATCATGTGTAGTATCAGATGCAGCCATATTGTCGTGATAAATTAAATTGAACCCAATTGTCGGGTGTACCGAAGTATGGGCGAATAAGGATAAACACTGTAGGTATCTCGCTAAGCCGAGGCGACCCGATCCGTGAAGTATAACTATATCGCATGCGTAGACTAATATCTTGCCAGAAGTGTATTTTTGAAGGAGTCCCGCCTATACAGCACAGGCGTGCATATACAAGGTGAGTTATAAAACACACACATCTACACCAATACCTAACCTCTCATACGCACAGGTATACGTACAGTGTGACGTGCGTACAAGTACATGATGACTATAGCACTGAAGATGACAGTACGTTTATGCATGCCTTACCAAAACGTTTATACATGCCAGGTCAAGGCCAGCCCCGCCAAATGAACGTACTAATGGCAATGGCGGGCTTCCACAAAAAAAATTTACAAATGCATACACACTCCATAAAAACGTATAGGTACGTATTCACATACCAAGTTCGTTGTACACAAAGCAGTCCGTTTGAACTCGCGCCGCCCAAAACTTATATGTCTCGCAGCAGACAATTACCGGAATACCTTGTGCCTGTAAACCGGGACGAAGGCACCGGAAGGTGGTGCAAAATTTAAGATAGCGTTTGAAACAGCTTGTGCAGCTTATGTATAGATATGAATATAGGACAGGTATATTGATTGGGTGTGTGGAAGATGTGGAGATATCTGAAGTGGTTTCATCATAGAACAGACATGAACAATGTGGTTCTTTTGCTTATATATATAAATATATATATACATATATAAACAGAGAAATAATAAATTGCGCGAATTATGAAAACCCGTTTGCATATCCCAAAGCAACACTGTATACGCTCATATGGACAGGATAATAGAAACGCACAGCAGCACACGTTGGCATTTAGGTTAAAGTGAAGAACAAAGCATGAACATACCACAACTGTGACTTACTTAATCACTACAGCTGTATATAGCATACTATATACACTATAGGATAATACATACATACATAATTACTATATACACTATAAAGATAAAACAGACAGGTGTACACATACACCCACAAACAACTTCACGGCTGTAATTCATAGATTGATACACATCACATACATGTTATAGACAGGTATATATGTACATACCATAGACAGATATTTATTATATATATACCATAGAGCAGGTATATATATATATACTATGGACAGATATATATATATATATACTATAGACAGGTATATATACATATATATATACTATAGACAGGTATACATATATATATATACTATAGACAGATATATATATATATACATACTATAGACACACATACATACATACATACATAC